ACAACCAATTGAGGGGCAGGTAGGTGGTGCAGTGGATAGAGCATGAGCCCTGAAGTCAGGAGGACCTGAGTTCAAATTTGACCTTAGATACTTAGTAGCCATGTGACCCCGGGCAAGTCACTTAACCCCAACTGCTTCCCCCACCAAAAAAAGAAGAAAAAACAACAACAACAACAAATTGAGCCCCAGATTAGACCAGACTAGACTAGACTGACTTCCAGGCTGGGGATCTTACCACCTCTTCAGATCCTCCCAACAACCTTGTGAAGTAGCCAGGGCAGGCATTATTATTTACCTTTCATAGAGGTGGAAACTGACACAAAGGAAGTCTCCCCTAACTAACAAGCTAGTGAGAAGGTGAGGGTGGGTACTCTAGGCTCCCTCCCGGGCCAGGTGGGGTTAATGCACCCCAGCCCCTGGAAATAGCTCCCTTTGCTTCCATACTGTCCTCATTGGCAGCAGGACAGAGTGCACACTCTTCTCACCAGTCATTTAATAGCAAAGAGAAAGAAGCAAGAGCTGTTCGACAGCATGAGGCTCCCACAACCCTGCTGCCTCCATCCCCTTACTCCACTCACTCCCTCTGGAAACTGAGTGCAAATTAACCGAGGCTTTGTCAGCTGAGAGAGGGATATTAATAGATGCAGAGATGCAGAGCTTCTTGCTCTTCCCGCACCCCTCCTCTGATCCTCCTCTTTGGGCTAATCTAAAGCTTGGAGAAAATGAATCTGAGGTGAAATCCTCTGGAAAAAATAGGAGGTAGCTTAGTTTTAGGGAAAGGGCATTGGTCTGGGAGTCTTGAGGCTTGGTTCGCCATCCTGGCTAGGCCATTAAATTGCAGGTGTGTCTCAGTTTCCCCTTCGCAAAATGTAGAGGATAATAATAATATCCTCTGAACATCAAAGGAAATAATGGAGTTGAAAGTGCTTTGTAGAGCACAAAGCTTCATGTAAATCCAAGTTAATTGTTATTATTATTAAGTGCAGAATTCCATTTCAGACTTCTTCTACTACTAGAGGTAGAGCTCCTTTAGAGCTTGTTTATCAGGATATTTCCTCCGGCACTAAGTATACTGCTTTGTATACAGTTAAATTTTAGTAAATATTAAGTGGAATTGGAATGAGTTGATTCACTGTTAGAGGAAATTATTGAGGCAGCTAAGTGGCACAATGGATGGAGCACCAGCCCTGGAGTCAGAAGGATCTGAGTTCAAATCCGGCCTCAGATACTTAATACTTACTAGCTGTGTGACCCTGGGCAAGTCACTTAACCCCATGGCCTAGCCACCCAAAAAAATATTGTGGCAAGAAGTTGGTGACAACAGCTTCATAGAGGAAGGCAAGCTGGGGAGTTGGAGAAAATCCAAATAAGTTGAGAGAATGGGATCAGGTTGCAGAAACACAGGTAGGAAGTAATATGGAATCTATGATATTTGAATATGTGACCCTTGAATTAAGCTAGTCAACATCACCTATACTTCCCAATGTATTCCTCCTTCACTCCCTCCAGGACAGCCTTATAATAAAGTCTGAAGAAAGGAAAGGAGAAAAAGTTATATAAAACATATTTTATAAAATCAAAACATACATATATTAAAAAATCTGATACCATACGTGTATCTCATATAACCTATGAGCCCCTAAGAAGGGGTAAAAGGAGGAAATGAGAGAGTTTTCTCATTCCTCCTCTCTGGGGCCAAATTTGATCATTATAATTCCAAATCATTCAGTTTTAATTTTTTTTATTGCTAATTACATTATTGTGTATATTGACTACTAATTCAACTAACTTTGCTTTGTTTCAGTTGATAAAAATCTTTCCATGCTTCTCTGAATTCATCATTTTCATAATTTCTTACAACAAAGTAATATTCCATTACATTCACTTACTGCCAATCTGCTTAATTAATCCACCAATTAATGGTTACCACAAAAAATGCTGCTAAAAATATTTTGCTGTATAGGTGGACTTTCTTTATGCCATTGACCCTGAAGTGGTATAAAGTGACCCTGAACTAGGAGTATGGACATTTCAATTTATTTACATAATTCTAGATTTCTGTCTAAAATGGTTGTACCAATTCACAGCTCCACCAGCAATTCATCTGAAAGCCTGTCTTTCTACCACCCATCCCCCAGTATCTAATCCTATATAATCCAATGACTAATCCCATCTTTTATCATCTTTGCCAATTTGCTGGATGTGCTTTGAAACTTCAGGATTGTTTTGATTTGCATTTCTCTTGTCATTTATGATTTGGAGCTTTCTTTCATTTGGCTGTAAATAATTTGCAATTTTCTTTTTTGGTTTATTTTATAAAATAAGTTTTTATTGATATTTTGTGTTTCTTTTATTACCATAGTATCCCAAGTATGCCTTGCCCTCCCCCTCCATGAGAGTCATCCCATAAGACAAATAGTATTTTTTAGAAAAAAAAATCAGCACAATGGATTGATACAATGAAAAAGCCTGAAAACATGTGTAATATATAACTACCTGCACCAAGGGGTAGGTTGGGGGTATTTTTTCATATCTCCTCATTACAGTCCTCCTTGATCTTTATAATTTTGTTACATTTACTTTTGATTTTTTTTTGGGTGTACCACTGTTCTTTCCTGTTACATTGTTGTAGTTACTACATATATTGTTTTCTTGGTTCCGCTTACTTCACTATGCATCAGTTCATAGAAATTTTGCCATGCTTCTCTGTATTCATCACATACATACATCATTTCTTATAATTCAATATTCCAGTAAATCAATGTACCACAGATTAGACAGGCATCTACTTTGTTTCCAATTCTTAGCTATTGTAAAAAGTGCTACTGTTACAAATATTTTGAAATATATGGGGACTTTTCTTCGTTGGGATATAAGACCAGTAATGGCGTCTCTGGTTTAAGAGGTATTAACATTTTAGTCATTTTATTTGTGATTGCTTTCCAAAATGGTTGTATCACTTCACAGCTCCACCAACAATGTATTGGTATACCCACTCTTCCATAACCCCTCCAATATTGACTTGCCATTTTGGGTGGTCATTTTTGCCAATTTGCAGGGCGTAAGGTGAAACCTTAGAGATGTTTTTATTTAAATTCTCTTGTTGGTAATTTGGAGCATCTTTTCATGTGGTTGTGGATACTTTGCAATTCTTTGAAGAACTGCTTGTTCGTATCTTTTGACCACTAATCTATTGGGTGATGACCCTTTGGTCTTATGTATTTCTGCTAATTGTCTGAATAGCTTATCAGAGATATTTGATACAAACTTTTTTATTTCCTCACTAAACCAATTCCCCATTCCTATCACAGTTGCATTAATTTTGTTTACACAAAGGTTTTTCCATTTCATGTAATCAAAATTACCTATTTTATCTTTTGTAATTGCCTCTATACCTCATTTGATTAAGAATTCACCCTGTACCCACAGCTGTGAAAGACTTATGTTTTCCTTCTAATTTTTAATGGTATGATCTTTAATATTCAGATCATACATCTATTTTGAATTTATTGTGGAATGTGGTGTGGAAATAATGTCTAAATCCAATTTCTGCCATACTCCTTTCTTGTATTCCCAGTAGTTCTTATTAAACTGGGAGTTCTTTTCTGGGTAATTTTAGTTTTAGGCTTACTGAACATTGGATTGAGTTCAGTTATTTTTCCTTGTCTTTTCTGTTTCATTAATCCTTTTCTATTTTTTTTTAACTAATGACAAATGTTTTTGGTGATTGGTATTTTATAATGTGAAAAAGCGCTATTCCCCTTTCATTCTGATCTTTTCACCATGATTTTCCTTGATATTCTAGACCTTTTGTTCCTCCAAATGACTTTATTATTATTTTATTATGTTATCATTTTACATTATCATATGTTATATTAGGACAGATAAGTGGTATAGTGGATAGAGTGGAATCAGGATAAATCTAAGTTCAATCTGGGCCTCACATACTTCATAGTTGACTGACCATAGGCAAGTCACTTAGTCTCTCATTGCCTCAGTTTCCTCAACTGTAAAATGGGGATAATAACAGCACCCTCATCCCAGGGGTGTTATAAGGATTAAAGGAGATAAATATAAAGTGCTTAGCATGGTTATCTGGTAAGCAGTGGATACCATGTAAATTCTTATTCCTTTCCCTTCACCATTTCATCTAGCTCTATACAGTGTCCCTTTGGTAGTTTGATTGGTATAGCCCTAAAATCTGCTAATTAATTAAAATTTTAAAAATAAATGTGAAAATATTGCCATTTTTATTTTAGTGGTATGACCCAGACATGAGCACTGCACATTTAAACTGTTATTTATTTCCTTAAGGAGTGTTGTATAGGTTCATATATATATAGGTAATGAGTGTGTTTTGGTAGATTGACTCCCAGATATTTTATGTATTTCACAGTTATTTCGAATGGGACTTCCCTTTCTTTTATTCCTCCTAGATTTTGCCATTATTATATAAAAATGCTCTTTACTTTTATGGGCTAACTTTGTAGCCTGCAACTTTGTCAAAGCTATTGTCTCAATTAGTTTCTTTACTGATTCCTTAAGATTTTTTAAGCAAAATGTGTCATCTTCAAATAGAGATAGTTTTGTCTCCTACATTACTCCTATATTTCTTGGGAAAGCTTCTAGTGTTTCATCATTATATACAATGCTAGATTTAAGGGAAAAAAAAAACCAATGTGCCTAAATGAGTTGTTCTTTGTCAAAGGCTTTTTCTGTATGTATTTAGATAATATTGTGGTTTGGGGATGTTTCCATTTTTAATATGATTATGTTAACTATTTTTCTAACATTGCACCATCCTTGTATCTCTGGTGTAAATACAACTTGATTACAGTGAATGATATTTTTGGAATAAAATGTTATAATCTTCTTGCCAGGACTTCATTGAGAATTTATGAATTGATATTGCATGGATATGTCTTACCTTCTTTATCAGATGACAAATTCCTTTAAGCCAGGGGAATCTCTGTGCAGTATGAGTACATGGAAGGACATACCTGGAAAAGTTCTGAGTCTTCCCCGCAGGTGTCACACTGGCTGAACCCATTTTCAGATGTCTCAGGACCCCACTGAAGCTCACTGAAGCAGCTGGCAGAATCCAAGTCACTGGCATCCAACTGGGAGAGGTCAAGGTCTTGGAAGTCTTCGTAAAGGTGCTCCTCCCCTGCACCCTCACACTGCAGAGACAGGAAAAGGGAAAGTGCCCAATGGCTATTGATCTGGCTAGGCTTTCCACATTGAAACTACTGAGTAATGCTACAGCCATGGCCTTGTCAGTCCTATGTCTGCGAGTCCAGGTTCCTAGGCTTATGGGAGGAAAGGGGAAAGAGCTCTCGTTACCACCAATGGCTGTACAGAGAACCAGGATTAAGGGAAGGCAGATTCTTTCAGCTGCAACACAAGGTGGGGGTGAGGAGGTAGGGATGCATAACCATGTACATTTTTTCATATGAGTTTTTCTAAATGAACATAAAATCATAGTCTTTAGAGCTGCCCAGCACCTCAAAGATATCTAGCCCAACCTCTCCATTTTACAAATGAAGAAACTGATGCTCAGAAAGTTTTAAGTGGCTTGTCCAAGGTCAAACAGTAAGTATTGGAGCAGGGATTCAAACTCAGTGTTTTTTCTACTACATGGTATTGAGAATCCTACCCTCACTCATCCATGGGGCTTTAATCTGTGATGAGCCAAATCATCTATGTTAAAATGATACAGGCATAGCCATTGGATAATTATTCAATTTGAAACCTCATCTTGGGTGCACACACGCCTTGCTCTGGCTCTGCTGCTTTTCCACTATTTGGCTAGCTCTAGCCTCTGCTGGTCAGCCATATTCCCCACAGCTCCACTAATCATTTTCTCCACAAAGGCCTCTTGCTTCCCTCTCTACTTACAATTTAGAAAGTCCTTCAGGCATGCTTCCCACCTCTCTCATGCAGAGAGAAGATGGACTCAGGTGGGACATGCATTTTCAGGAGTGGCCAATATGTTAATTTTTTTTGACTATTCATTTGTCCCAGGAAAGGTTCTACAGGCAGTAGGAATAAGAGGGATGTGGAACAAGTATTTATTAAGCAGCTTCTATGTGCCAACCATGGGCAGCTAGGTGGCGAGGTAGATAGAGCACCTGGCATGAAGTCAGGAAGACTTATCTTCCTGACTTTAAACCCAGCCTCAGACAATTACTAGCTGTTTGATCTTGGGCAAATCACTTAATCCTATTTGCCTCAGTTTCCTCATCTGTAAAATGAATTGGAGAAGGAAATTGTAAACCACTCCAGTATCTTTGCCAAGAAAACCCCAAACAGGGTCATAAAGAGTCAGACACACCTGAACAACAAATGTGCCAGGTAATGTGCTAAACACTTAAAAATATCTTATTTGATCCTCACAACAACCTCAGTTGTAAAATGGAGGGATGAGCTATTATTATCTCCATTTTACAACTGAGGTAAATAGGGTTAAGTGACTTGCCTAGGGTCACACAGCTAATAATTATCTGAAGTCAGATTTGAACTCAGGTCTTCCTGGTCTCAGGTTCTGCACTCTATTCACTGAGCCACCTAGCTGTCTCAAATAAATGTTGATGGCTCATTTGCTGAGGTTTTAAGAAAATGGTAGCAACTGCCTAGGAGAAAAGAGGCATGCTGTGCATCATCTGAAACTAATGAGTTGACAATCCACCTCTCACTATAGTATCTTCCTGTGCAAGTTTGGAAAGAACATTTACTGGCTTTCTTCCCTCCCACCCCCTGCTTTGGGAACAATTTATTCTAAATTGGGAAACCACTGGAGAATCTTCAAAAGTAGGTAAGTTCACCTTTCTTTTCGAGTCTGTGCATCAAAAGGAAGAACAAAGGAAAGCCTGGCGGGGGAGACCTCTAAATTGTCTGAGTCCAAACCATCTCAGCAGGAAGTCTCAGCTTATGACTATGGGTAAGTTACTTAAGCTTTATAAGGACTAATACAAGATAGAGAAAAGTATTCCTTTAACACTGATACTTAATTTATTGAAATAGCAACTATCTGCCCCTTGTTCTGATAAACAAGATAAGCAGATCACTGTTTAGTTTTACAATATACAGCAACATTCTGCCTGTCTGAAGACCAGATTAAAAGCAGCAAATCACAATACAAGTATTGGCAGGGATGGGGGGTGAACTGTGGTCAATAACAGGAGACAAAATGAAAGCAGGAAAGATACTCCTGGACTTCCTAATACTGAGGGTAAAGATGAAAAACAGATAAATAGCAGACCCAGCATCTCATTATCTCACAGGACTATAAATGGATGCCCACAATGATGGTCCTGAATCATCAGAAAGAGCTATACACTAATGCTCAGTATTTTGTGCTTAAGAAGCTAAGGAAGTATGTGATAAATATTAAAAATGTTCTCATCCAAAATGTGTATGTCTGTGTGTTTTTAAAAGTAAATCTTGGTGTTTGAAAGAGGGAGCCTCAATTCTGTGGAAATTTTCAGGCTGTGGAAACCTCATTCCCCAAGGGTACAAGAGGTACGAATGGAGTTATAGTCAATCTCTGCTTGAAAACAAACCATGCAGGCCTTCTCTACTGGCAGCTCAAGTGAACAGCTCTCAGAGTTGTGACTCACACCAATTATGGTCTGGTCACGCACCAAGAATAGGTTTTCAGGAGGGTGATAAAACAGCACAATTCAGAGGCTTCTTCCTGATAAATTAGGAACAATGGAAGACCCACCAAAACAAGGCGTGTGCTTCTCCAAGAGTGTGGAGGACTATCCATTTTAACTCCCAACAGGCCCTGTCAATCACCCTATGGATTTCTCTGACTAGGGAGGTGACATCAGCTTGACCTGAAGAGTTTCACAGAAAGCTCAGGCATAATCATGCGTGACAGCAGCAGATTTTGTTGAGAGAAACTGTGATGTGTTCAGGGTCTCTCAGACTTTTCAGTCATGTCAAAGAAGTCAATCATTTCTTTTCCCCAGATCTCTGGGGCTATCAGAGATAGAATGGATAGCTACATGAGGGGAGCATTCTACTACCCTTGTATTCCTGCCTCCTCCCCACCTATCTGTCTGTCTCAGAATCCATCTGAGACAGCTAAGCCACAATCACGCAGGGAATTCTGCTCCCTTGCCTGTCTCCTTCACCCAGCGGCTTGACTGATCACATGGTCTGGATGAGATGGAAGCCAACAACTGCATTTCTTCTGATGAGATGGAGGCCCCACCATCTACCCTGCCACTGATTCCTAAAATTCTTCAGGCTTTACTTTGTGCCTTATAGTCCCCCAGCACATTGTCATCTCACCTACATGTGGGCCTCTTATACTAAGGACTTTTCTAATTGGGTGAGACAACATATATGAGAAAGTTCAACTGCAGGCAATTAGAAATGTCAGAAGTCATAAGTGTACAACAATGAGACCAATAGTGAGGCCTAGAGCTTAACACAGTGCTTGGCACATGGTAAGTGTTTCATCAGTGCTTTTTTACTCATTCATTTATCAGTCCCACTGTTGTTCAGTCATTTTTCAGTCATGTCTGACTCTTCATGGCCCCATTTGGGGTTTGCTTGGCAAAGATACTGGAGTGGTTTGCTATTTCCTTCTCCAGCTCATTTTACAGATGAGGAAACTGAGGCAAACAGGGTTAAGTGACTTGCCCAGCCAGTAAGTATCTGAGGCTGGATTTGAAATCAGGAAAGTAAGTCTTTCTGATGCCAGGCCTACCCAGAACTGTCCACTGTGCCTCCTAGTTGCCTCAGTACTACTAGCATGAACCAATAGGGATGACAGGGTTATTTTCAAGTTCTCCCATTAGATTGTAAGTTCCTTGAGGGCAGGGATTCTCTTTTGCTTCTTTTACATTCTAAGAGCTTAGTTTAGCAGAGTGCCTGGCACATGGGAAACACCTAATAAATATTTAATGATTCATTAACTCACCCTCCTCTATAGAAGCAGTTTCACAGAGTAAAACATTGCTTTACCCCATTACTGACATTTAGTCCAAGGGGGTCAAAGACAGAAACAAAGATTCACTGTATACCAAAATATTTATTCACAACAGCACTTTATGTGGTAGCAAAAAATTGGAAACAAAATGAGTACCTATCAACTAGAGAACAGGTAAACTAATTGTGACATGAACAGAAGGAATTCAGAGAAACCTAGGGAGACTTGTAGCAACTGATACACTAAGAAAAAAACAGAACAAGGGAAACATTCACAGTAATTACAATACAAAGAAATAAACAATCAGATAAAGCTAATCAGCAATCATAGGATTCATAATGACCAAGCTGGGGAGAAGTGAGGAGGAAACACACCTGGTCCTTTCCTTGGACAGGTGAAGGACTATGGGTTGCATATACTGCCACATCAAACTGATGTAGAGGAGGGAGGAGAAGGGAACCAGAATTTACTACAGGCTACTATGTGCCAACCATTGTGGGAAAAGCCTTGCAGATATGTCTCATTCAATCATTTGGTTTGGTTTTGCTTAATAATTTTTTTTCCTCTTTGTTAAAAGGAAAGGTTCATTGGGGGAAGGTTATATAGAAAAATGATTAACATAACTACAAATGGCATCAATTGGGGCAGCTAGGTGGTGCAGTGGATAGAGCACCGGCCCTGGAATCAGGAGGACCTGAGTTCAAATCCGTCCTCAGACCAAGCACTTGACACTTACTAGCTGTGTGACCCTGGGCAAGTCACTTAACCCCAATTGCCTTAAAAAAAAAAAGGGCATCAATCAATAAAACAAGAGAAAGAAAAGATAGGAAGTTAGCAAAATAGAGGAGACACACACAAGAAAGTGTAAGTCCCAAATCAATTTTCTGCCTCTTCTCTAAAAACCCTTAAAGGTAGAGAGAGAGGAGGATTTATATTGGAACAAGAGAGAGCCCACCCTCCTTCAAGGAGATTTTGTGCTCTCCATCTAATGATAAAGTATGACTGATAAACAAGCAGATCTATATTAATGAAGAGGAACTGTATGAGTTTAGATGACCAAGAACATTCTGGAGCTAAAGGAATTTCAGAGAAAGGAGACTCAGAATGATGAAGTGCCTCAACTAGAACATTCGATGTTTACCCTAGAGGAGAGTTGGCAGAGACAGGGTCATCATTTTCCGATATTTGCAACATTGACAAGTGGGATAGGAATCACACTTGTTTTCCTTGGCCCTA